AATAAATAGAATAATGAGAGTTATTTGTCGAAGAAGCCGCTAAAAGATACACAAAACTAATGAACTTAACAGTCAAAGAAGGGAGCGTTAAACGAAAAAGTATGAATAAAATGAAGAAATCGCAGTGTAATGTATGTCAAAAGAAAGTAACAAGTATGTAAAGGCATATGAGAACTCATACTGGTGAAAAGCCCTACAGTTGTCCAATATGCAAGAAAAGTTTCTCTCGACCACACCATAAGGAAGACCATATGAGAACTCACACCCGTGAGAATCGGGAGAATACGGTTATCTCACATGCAACAAAAGCTTCTCTCATTTACCAGCTATGAAAGATCATAATAGAACTCATACCATTGAGAAGCCGTACGTTTGTTCGATGTGCAACAGTAGTTTCCCTCAATCATGCAACAGAAGGACCCATATGAGAACTCGTACCGCTGCGAACCCAACGTACTGCTTCGATGTGCAGCAGTAGTTTTTCTCAATCATGTAACAGATAAACCCATATAAGAACTCATACAGGTGAGAAGTCGTACGTTTTTTCTTTAAGTTCATTAACTCTATATATCTTTTAGCAGCTTCTTTGATTAATAACTCCCATTATCCTGTTTTTTTCTACTCACTCCTTACACTGGTAAATCCAACAGTTCTCCGTTTACGCCTCCTCAAATTATATGAAATTATCAACTCGTTATGTTAAAAATTTGAAATCTTCGAATTATTGTAGTGCTGTGTTCTATTTTTAACTTTAAATGAGCTTATTCTAGTTTAAATGTTCTCAGTTGGACGAAGAAGACAACGACGAAATAGATGAAATGCATATTGATGTGAGTAATTCCCTGCTTATTCTGAATTCAAGTTTACTTGTGCAGTGAATGGTTGCTTATAAGAAATAAGATTGCTTATTGTTTGAATTTACGTAGTGGGAAAATTTCTTCCGGTAAATATTTACTCAAATATGTTAATATTGAAAAACAGTTTCGATTTGTTGCCAGCATAATACAATTGCATTTTTCAAACGATAAGCATAAGAAGTTATTCGCGCTGGAGATCGGTCGCAAGCGTTTCAAAGCGAAGTCTTCGCAATGCTAACAGTCACAAATTTAATAAAAAGATAATTTTGTTTTAAAAATGTGCTTATTTACAGGCTCACCGTGAAATTCCAAAATCTCTCATAATGCGATACTTTGAAAAGCAGATGACACTCTCTATCGAAATAAATGAAATAGATCTTACCGGATGGAATTCGTGGAAGAGATTTTGACACAAACGACCAGTCACTTCTGTTAGGTATTGTTCAAGTATCGTCTGTATAAATAATCGTCCGAATGGGAGTGGCAAACTATCCATTCATAATCTTTGTCCACGTATAATAATGTAATTGTAGCAATTGCTGTTTAATCCTTCCTACTGAATAATTTCATTTTAGCTGGTATATTGCACTGTGGAAATTAATTTATGCAAAGCAGTCACAGCATTTTTTGTACAATTTTATTTCGCCTCAGTTTTCCCAAACCTTCAAAACTGAGGCAATATTAGAGAGGGAAAAACTGCATTGCTACATTTCTTGTAATTGTAATTGGTAATTGACACTGTTAATTTACATGTGTTAAATGATTTCATCAGACGTTTGTTCGGACTCCATATCCATTCTTGAATCGGTTTCCAAATTTGTTGCATGTACTGCGTGTGTGTTTGTGTATGTCTGTGTGTGTGTGTGTCTGTTTTTTGTACTTGTCTAAATTAAAATTTCACTTTATTATTTTCATATTATAGCATATAAAATGATGAAAGCAATTGTTAAGTGAATGAATTATAATATCAGTCGATGGTGTCCAGAATATATCAATCTTTCAAATTTCAAACATAACAAAATCGATAATTTGCAATACTGAAAAACAAGAAAACACTAGTAAAATTCCACCAGTCATTGACAATAATTAACGTCGTTGGCTCCGTCCAATAACTGTTGCACAATGTCTGGTTGGTATCACTTGAAATGCTGAGCCAGAAGTTATCGGTTCGCCATCTATGGCTATATGACCACCGCAGTTGCCTAATGGTTCAACACGGCAAGCGCGGACTGGAACTACCTGCAATTCCTCTCCATGAAACTCCTTCGGAATTAAGAAGTACAGAAATTCAAGCATCGACTCTGATTTGTTCTTATAAACAACAAGAGGATGACGAAAAATGAGTGACTATATATTGACTACATAAGATGACTATATATTTAAGATATGTCCTCTTCGCTTGACTTTAATCGAAATTTAAACTCAAACAACCTGTAAAAAAGAATGGGATAAATGTGAGCAGTCGTTTATTCCAAGCATCATTTTGGCAAATTCAAGCCGTGATTTAATGTTGTTCCAATCGACATATGTTAAATATAGGAAGTCATCATCCAAACGAGCACAAGGAAGATAAGGTAGATCACTTCCTGAATTGTGAATAACAAATTTTTAATAGTTAGCTTTTCCTCCTCTTCCTTTTTGGTGAATGTTAACCATGCAGTATAATATCGAAATGGTATTTTGGATTTCAATTTTCAGATCCTGATACAAGTGATTTTATGCTTTGTGACAGTTACGTACTATAATTTGATACACTACAGTCAATGCGTTAGTTATTCGAATAGTGAACCGGTCAATATGTCAACTTCTTAACCAGTGAATGGGCAAGTTAGTAGTTGAAGAATCACTATTTAATTGATTAAAATTCATATTGTTTTCGGCAAAAAATAAACTGGCCGGATAGTAAATTCGTCAATTACTATAGGAGAAAAAAACGAACGGGTGCTATGCAAACTTTTTAAAATAAATTAATCCATCATCAATTATCGCACGACGAACAACCATTTAATATACCAATAATCCATTTCAAAATGAAATAAAAAAGACGGGAATGTGGATAAACTTGAGGTTTTGGGAAAGCTTTTTGGGAAAATGAACAAAACTGAAAGTGTCAAGGAAGAAGTATGGAAAAACATACCTAAATGAGAAAGACTTGTTAAGCAAACGTAGACGAAATAACCTTCAAGGACATCCCAGTCAGATCCAACCGGTTCACAAAGAGCAGGCATCTACGAATTAATCAATTGATTTTTTAATTTTAGAGAATAATATCCAGTTCAATCTAATACAAAGACGAAGTAAAGAGATGCTAAATTTGAATAAAATGCTCAACCTTTAATAAACAATACCCTTAGACAATCCTGCAAAGTACATTCCTTAGTATCTAATATATTTCCATTTCTAGTCACGACTAAATCTACTGGTCCCAATGGCTAATTATCACTGATAAATGCTTTCATTTAGAATCAAATTTTGAGTCTTTTTTTGATTTCTTTAGAAAAACTTCCTATTATTGTATTTACCACAGATAACCTTGTATTTCATTTCTTTACTTCACGTTGATTTGAACTGATTAGTTTCAACGAACATGTATCAAATACTCTGGAATGAAACGTTGTACCTGCACAAGGTCATCGTTTCTAAAAAAATTCGGAAAGCTACTACTGATACTACCATTTGCTTCTCCATATCCAGAATCTATGAAATTCTCAACAGGCCGATATTCAAAATGACCTTTGGTATACTTTTCACGTTCCAAATCCTTCCTAAAATCCTTCAATTTTTCCTTCATAAGATAATAAATTATTGTAATGTAAGACATTTCTCATCATATATTAGTTTACTTGGCAATATCATTGGGTAAAAAAAACGATATTGTTTTTTTTTTAAAATGAAAAATTTTTCTTGAGAAATTTTTTTTTTTAAAAAATGATAATGATATTAATGATATAATGATATAGAAAGAGTAGCACTCTCTCGAAAAAGCTTCAAAAAAGAGTTAAGTGTTACCTGCTTATGTTTCAGTCAAAATTCACACCTACGACAAGAATTGTTTTTAAGGTAAGTAATATTTTCTGGAAAAATAGTGTTAAAAAGAGAAAAACAAGAAAGAGGTTACCATAATTTTGTTGAGCACTGCAAAACATCATCATGAACTGGCAAGTATGAAATTCTACCTTTATAGCGAGCAACTTGAGGTAATTCTGGAAAACGGTGTGTCAAATACAATTCATTCACTATTTTTTTTAAAACAATA